GCAATGAAATATAAAAATAAGTGTGAAAATATCAAAAAAGAAAAAGTAGGGATGTTTTGCACAATAATAATAAAAGGTATGACGTTTTGTGCTAATTACTCTTTTAATAATTTATTTGAATCATTTTCACTTTTTAAAAAAGTTTAGGAGTATGATTGTAATTTATTCTTTATCTTTTTTTTTTAAATTTTATTTAAATAAGAGGTATATTTGTCATTTTACATGAGAAATTTGATGAAAATTATGATTTCCGCAATAAAAGGTGAAGGTAAGGCTAAAAGTGTTAAAAAATGAAAATTGAGAATATTTTGCACAATAACATTGTAAGATGAGAACGTTTTGTACTAATTACCCCAATAAATATTAATCAATACAAAAAGTACTCAATATACTAGCATAAAGCATTCATTTAAGAGTCGAGGTAACATTAAGAATTACACTTGCCAGTAAGAATAATAAATAATGCATACGTCAATTGACTAGTGGCATGAAATACTAAAATTTATAATTCAAGCGTAATATTCCCCAGAGATAAACTATTAAGCTCACGTCGGTTATCCATTATTTTACATTCCAACACATTATTTTTTCTATATCATTCATTTCCAATCATACATTCTTCATTAAATTAATATTACACGTAAATCAAAAAAAATTCTTATTTCGTACATTCTCCATCAACCTACTATTTCATAATACATTTTTCAAAATTAAAGGGGCTAATGAAGAGTACCTACATCCTAGTGGTTCCAAAGCCCACAAGCATAACTATGCACGGCTATATATCTTTTTAGAGAAATAATATCATTATTTATTTACATATTTACATTTATAATCAAGTTAATTATAAAGTGACAAGTGAAATAAATATTTTACAACATGTGATATAGCGACCAGAGAACTAGAATGCACCATGTGGCATGTGTTGGCGATTGTCATTTTTTAGACATGTCTTAATGGACAAAATTTGTCCAAATAAGATCCAAACAAATGTGTCTTTTTTCAAACACAACTTTCCAACGACTATAAATAGATCTCTCCAGTTTGTAGAATTTATTCAAAATTTTCCACTTACATATTACACATTGTATACTGTTTCATTTTGAGTACAAATAGTTTGTTTGTTGTTCTTGTAATTTGAAATGCTAAAAAATAGTGGGCTTTATGTGTTTGTTTGGTAAAGATTTTGATAATTGATTTTTTGACCTTTAGAGATAAAGTGGGCTGTACTTGTGAGAGAAGAATTCAAAAATGACGACTGGAATGATGAAATAACGATAAAAAATTAATTTTAATTGACTTAAAATCTGTACCAAACAAGCATTATATCTTGAGGGATAAAGACGTAGCTCTGTCCAAACAGGGCACCTAATCGTCCCCCTATTGGAGGGGGTGCAATTAATATCTTGTTTTATGCAAGAGTTACTTAGAAGTTAATGTCCTGTCAGTCGAGCATAATCCTATCTTGAGAGTTTGCTAGCAAATTGTCAGCACTAATATGGCTAGTTTTCATTTATCCTTTTTTATTTTTTTATTTTCCGTTATTTCTTTTATTTATTTAAAGAGTAAAAGCTTATTGTGTTTTCAATTAATTTCTTGTTTTATATACAAGTCACTTTTGAAATTTTATTTTATTTATTTATTTATTTTTTTTGAGCGAAAAGTTTCGTTAAGGTTAAAATCCAACCCACTATCCCCCAACATTACACCATAAAGATTGGTACAAAATTCAAAGTACAACTACCCACTAGATACCCCTATTGACTTTTCCCCCTAATTTTACAGCTATCTGTAGCAATTTTTTTTTTCTTTTTTTTTTTTTTTGGGTTCGTGGGGTGGTTTCGTGGAGTGGGGTGGGGAGTGCGGGGGGCATGTCCATTTTTCTTATTCTTTTATCCTGTTCATAAAAATGATTTAAAGTCAAATGAATAAAATTTTAGCTACTGGCTCCAACTTTATTCCGATTTTCACTGTTTCAAACTCAAATTTCTTGATAATGCAGCTCATGATCTTTCATTTTTATTTTATTTTTTACTTATTTAGGTTAGAAGGTAAATAAGTCATTTTCAATCAATGTAATGATTTTTTTTCAAGGTTTTAATGAGTAAGCATTACCGGGAAAGGAAAGTAAATTCTAAAGCAACGGCACAAACAAAATAGGGTCGACTTAGATCGTGAAAAATGTTTGTGGTAATCTGTAAAGCAATAAAAGTGTCACGTTGTTAGATAGCAAAGATGCTGCATCCTAATGGCAAGTTTAGTAACTGAAAGCATCATTAATTTATGCTTTGACTTGATTAGCATGACGTGTTGTAGTTAATGATTTTACTAGAGGTGCCACAAATTTGAAAGTAGATCTCAAGTAATTGTTATTTATTGAATTTTAGAGGAATTGCTATATTAGTATTGGAAAAATTGATATGATTCTTTTTAACTAGCTTGAATTATTTGGTCGAGAGTCACTTTTAAAGTATTAACTCCAATAGAGATCACACGTGTTCAAAAGAGGAAAGAGGGATGATAAAATTCTCCATTCCCGTCTTGTATTGCTCGATCCAAATAGTAAACAGTGCAAGGAACATCATCCTTTGAACTTGCACTAGATCTCTTTATTTTACTTAACCTCTGTCTGATTCCCATTCTTATAAGAATAATAATGAAAAATATAGTCGTTACGAGATTCACACAAGAGAGAGGAAGTCAAATATAATAACTTATGTGATGGATAACGATTATATTTCTCATTTTTGTGGCCAATGAAGGAAAACAAACGAGATCTAAATGTCTATGTTTTTCAATTTAAATAGTATTGAAAAAAGAATATATATAAACAATTAAACAGGATAACAGATCGAAATTCTTTATTCCTCGCCCCAATCTCATCCCCACGCCCTCAGCCATCCTTCCCTACCCAACATCGTGAAATCCTTGATCGTCCTAATCTCAATCGAATTCATTGTCATCCCTAGCTAAGCAAAACCTCCTCTTTTTTTTTTTTGGTTGTTAAAGTAGGATGGTGCTTTCGGGATTTTATTAATTTGCCTTCACTTGTGATGGAAGAATATTGTGGTTAAATGTGGAAAAATGAAAAACTACTTTTCTTACATTAATTGAAAATGCTAAAAAAAATATGTTAAGTAGTAAAAAAGAAGGAACTACGTTCCTTACATTTGATGAAAAAGTTAAAGATAAGAAATATATATAATAATACATTTTTTATTTTGACCAGAAAAATTCAACTTGGTAGGACAAAAATCAAAGTACTGTCACTAGATTCTAGAACGCCATTTGGTCAGTCTGCAGTAGACAAGTTGATGTCATTCGTGTCGATATCCTATTGGGAATAAGAAACCCACTGTACCCTCAGCAACTTGAGGGTAGGATTGGGAACTCCACCCATATTTTTGAAGATATTTTCTTCAAATAAACAATAAAAAAATTAGTTGGGGAGTGGGTGCGAAAAACGATTTTTACTTGTTTCATTTTCCTTTGACCTTTTCAGACTTCCGCCAATTTTTGCCGTCCATTAATTGTTTGGTTCGCCTTCTGGCAAAAGAGATGCAAAATATTCGATTTTTTTATTAAGGGTTTGTTTGGCAACCATTCTACGGCATGTTAATATATTATTTTTTTTACAGTACTTATTTTTAATCGCATTTTTTCATTAAAAATAATATCACACATAAATTAAAAAAATTTCATTCTTTTTTAGCTACACATTTTCTATTAATCACTATTCCATATACATTATTCACAAATAATGAGATTGTACACACACACAGAGACGGATTTTTTGAGGGGATGGGACTGGGCTGTAGTTGCCCCTCACTCAGGCTCAAGAACATTTTTTTAAGGTTTTTTTTTTGGGTAAAAAATCAATTTTTTGTGTAAATTTATTTTTTCGCGTAGTAGCTCGATCTTGGATCCAATTCTGGATCCGTCCTTGTACACATACATCTTAAATGTCGATATTTAGCTTATGTTAAGAATCTGTGACGTCATATAATAATAATAATAATAATTGGTATATCTTCGATGTGAAGACAATGTTCTCCACCCTAATTAAAGAATTCCAATCCCGTTTGAAATAAAACGACGAAAATGGGGTAACGCGGAATGCGATATGCTCAATTGTTAGCTGTCAATTTTCTTCTTGCAAATAGTCAAAACAAACCCTATTTAAACACGTTATTTATTCAACAATTTATAGAAATTACATCAACTAATATCAAAATATATTATTAGTCCATTTTCTTGCTATTAAGAGCACATTTGAGCACCATTTTTTTTAAATGCATTTTTAGAACAATAATTTGATGAAAAATGTGTAGTTAAAAATATTTTGGGTTCACGTATAATATTATATTATTGAATAATGCGTTGTTGAAAATAAGAGAGATAAATGTAATTTGAAATAATGGATATCAAACAAGGGTTGAATGAAAAGACAATTTATCGATTCTGTATTTAATACTGTCGAATTTTATCTTGATGCTATTGAATTGACAACCATTTTTGCAAGATAATGAACTAGATCGTGTTAGTTGCCGATGCAATTTCTAAGCGTAGTGTTTAATTAAATATTCATAAAATTATATAATCGTTATTTGCAAGTTAAACATACTATTGTAATCTATCAAGATAAGTAACATGTTTAATACAGAATTTAACCAACAGGCGTCGCGTTATAAAATTGATAAAAGTTTTAATTATTTAAATTCGAACAAAAAAGAGTATATTTATCATTCACAAAGCTATCGTTTTCGATTTTCTTATTTACAACGCAAAGGATCAAAAATGCCATATGATTACAAAACTTATATCTTTTAGGAAACAAAACAATCCCAAACGTTTCTTTTTAATAACTTATCTTTCCTCTAATAACTTAATAATTCTAATTTTAATTAGTTAATTATTTAATTAATTCAACTTTTGGTCTTTAATTTTTCTTTTGTAATTTATTTTTTTCATCACCGTCACGTGTATAAATATTCCTCATGCTTTAATAATCTCCGCTCCTCCTGTCCAAGACAGACCGTTTCTTGCGTCCCCATTTCTTCTATCTTTTTCTGTTTCTTTATTTTTAATTTTTATTTTCATTTGAATCCTCTGCTTGGTGGAGTACGTCAGCTACACAATTCTGGACAGTTTGTTCAGGTAAATCGAGCTCCTACTTCTTTCTGTGTGCTCGTACGTCTGTTTGTAGCTGAAAATTAGGTTTAAAAAAAAGGTCAAAATGAGTTTTTAGCGTATTTTTATGCTTTTTGTGCTATAATTTTTGAAGTTTTGGAGAAAAGTGGGTATTAGCTTTGTTTTTGTGATGATTTTGGGCTTCGATTTGGTTTTAAGTGGTATTTTTTGTTTTTTGTGTGTTTTTGAGAGGTCTGCTATTTCCAATTTGATATTGATTGAGATAATTTTTCGACGTGAATTGATGTGATTATGTAGCTAGGAGATCTGACGATAATCGACAGTTTTGAGGCATATTTAAGTAATAGAAATAGTGATTTTCGATTGCATATTTCCCAACTTCAATTTTCTGGAATAATAAACATTGTTTCGTAGATCTGTATAAAACCAGCTAATTTAGAACAATTTTACTCTTTTTAGATGTCAAATCAATTTTTTCTATATCTGCAGCTCAAAATTTCCTATTATTTTCTTAATCGGTATAGTCATAAGATTTTGTCTGATCTCTTTACTTCTGTTTCATGATCTAGTTTATTATCAACAAAAAAATCGATTTTTGCAACAGATCTAAATGATATACACATATTATTAAAATAATTAAAACTAATTTTTATGTTTTTGTCTTCTGGAACAAGTCAAAAATATGAACTTATGGGATTTTATCTGCCGCTCAATTTGACCGAGTCTTAACATCCAAATATAGTTCTTTTTTTTTAAAGTATTCTTCTTGGGTCTGTAATTATCTATCTTGAGGCAATTGTCTGAACTTAATTTGAATTTTTCGTAATACACAGGTGGTTATTTATAGAGATCTGAAGAGAAGATTATGAATCGGTGTGCTATTCAGCAGAAGTCTTTTACTTCCTGTGAAGAGATGAGGGGTGGCGACTGCAGATCTATGTCAATTTGTGTTGACAAGAAAGAGACGGTGGTTTGCCCCAAACCGCGGCGAGTTAGCCTTATCAGGCCCACCACCACCACGACGCTTAACGATTCTCCAGTCAGACCTCTTAGATGGCATTTCAGGTAAATTTTGTAACTTTCACACCCCTTATTTTTTGATCATTTGATTAATTTCTTTTTGTGTTTAAACTTGAAGTTTTAACTTTTGTATTTTCTGTTAATAGCCATCATCAAGAGGTTTGTGATTCAAAAGCTGGAAATGAACTGCTAGACATCATCCTTGCAAAGGTTTGTTCTGCTGTATAAATTTGATTTATTATTTTATTCTGATTTTTGTGAGTTAGATAGATCACTCATTTTGTGTTAATATACCAATTTTATGTGGACACCATTCCTTTTATTATTTTTTTTAATTTTTTGGGCAAAAATACTCAAGTGTATTAGAAATAGTCTTGACCTTTGGTTCACTGCGTAAGTGCATCACAAAGTATTTGTGGGCCTTAAATAAAGCTCATGTTTCGATTGTGTGGATAAATATTTTCTTGAATTTTTCTATGGTAACAGATTATTTCGATTCATTTATTTCATTTTATTTATTTCGTAGAGCTGATATAATTTGGTTCTTGATTTGTACAGGGTGGTTATGGTGCTGAACAATCTGTTGCGCAGATGGCCTCGTCGCCCCCCTTTTTTTCTGGGTCGCCGCCAAGCAGAGCATCTAACCCATTAATTCAAGATGCCCGTTTTGGGGATGAGAAATTCACCCCGGTTTCACCACGAGCTATCCCGTTCCCATCTGAGCTGGCTCCGTCCCCATCCTCCACCCGTAAAGGTGGATGCGTGTGGACAAATTTTGGCAACAATCCAGCTGTGAGGGTCGAGGGCTTCGAATGCCTTGACAGGGACAGACGCAACTGCAGCATCCCTGCTCTGGCTTAGAGCAATCAAAAAAACTAGTACATACAAAAATTGAAGATTTTAGCAGGAGAGGAATTTTGAACAGTTTGATCCAGTGAGCAAGTAATAGAGATCATTGATCATTTTGTATAGTGTAAATACACGTCAAAAAGTGTCTGTAAGGCAAGGAGTCTGTAATTAATCTGAGTTTGTTTTGATTGACCAAAAATAATTCAACCAAGTCATTGGGGGCACCCTATTGGTGTAACGAAAGGGACGAAAGGGGTCTTTAGTATTTGTGTTTATTTTGGGGTCAATTTTGATAGTCAAGTGAGGAAAATCTGTATAAAAATCTGCCTTGTTGGCGTTGAGTCATCATGTGTAGTCAATTCACTTTGTAAATACTAAAATATTATGAGTTGATATGGACATAAATTTTTAAATGGTTGCGTGATTTTGATGATTTCTAACTTTTGCTTTTGTCACATGGAATCTTGATATCGTGGCGGTGTAAATGATGATGCTTTTTGCTTGTTTGCAACGCCAAAAGCATTGAAATTGGTGGGGGCGGTTCAACAAAGGCGGTGCATGAGCATTTTATTTATGGATGTTAATGCAGGGATGGCAACGGGGAGCCGCCCCTGCCCCGTCTCGTCCTAGGGCAGGGATGGACAATTTTTTGTTTCGTTTGTTATTCTGTTTAATTTTAATTATAATTTTTTTTATATTTTTAAAGTTTTGAGTTATGTTATTATTAGAAAATAAAATACAAATTCAAAATTGATTTTTAACGAATGAATTGTCTAAAAATAAAATTATTTTTAATTTATTTTTATTTTTTTCCTTCACGGGGTGGGACATCCTTGTCTCATCCCGCCCCGAGCAAGGAATCTCGCCCAGCCAACCCATTCGGGACGAGTTTTTTTGCCCCATTTGAGATGTGGCGGGCTTTTTTTTGCTATCACTGATTAAATGGATCAAGTTTCCCATCTGAGCTGGCTCCGTCCCCATCCTCCACCCGTAAAGGTGGATGCGTGCGGACAAATTTTGGCAACAATCCAGCTGTGAGGGTCGAGGGCTTCGAATGCCTTGACAGGGACAGACGCAACTGCAGCATCCCTGCTCTGGCTTAGAGCAATCAAAAAAACTAGTACATACAAAAATTGAAGATTTTAGCAGGAGAGGAATTTTGAACAGTTTGATCCAGTGAGCAAGTAATAGAGATCATTGATCATTTTGTATAGTGTAAATACATGTCAAAAAGTGTCTGTAAGGCAAGGAGTCTGTAATTAATCTGAGTATGTTTTCATTGACCAAAAATAATTCAACCAAGTCATTGGGGGCACCCTATTGCTGTAACGAAAGGGATGAAAGGGGTCTTTAGTATTTGTGTTTATTTTGGGGTCAATTTTGATAGTCAAGTGAGGAAAATCTGTATAAAAATCTGCCTTGTTGGCGTTGAGTCATCATGTGTAGTCAATTCACTTTGTAAATACTAAAATATTATGAGTTGATATGGACATAAATTTTTAAATGGTTGCGTGATTTTGATGATTTCTAACTTTTGCTTTTGTCACATGGAATCTTGATATCGTGGCGGTGTAAATGATGATGCTTTTTGCTTGTTTGCAACGCCAAAAGCATTGAAATTGGTGGGGGCGGTTCAACAAAGGCGGTGCATGAGCATTTTATTTATGGATGTTAATGCAGGGATGGCAACGGGGAGCCGCCCCTGCCCCGTCTCGTCCTAGGGCAGGGATGGACAATTTTTTGTTTCGTTTGTTATTCTGTTTAATTTTAATTTTAATTTTTTTTATATTTTTAAAGTTTTGAGTTATGTTATTATTAAAAAATAAAATACAAATTCAAAATTGATTTTTAACGAATGAATTGTCTAAAAATAAAATTATTTTTAATTTATTTTTATTTTTTTCCTTCACGGGGTGGGACATCCTTGTCTCATCCCGCCCCGAGCAAGGAATCTCGCCCAGCCAACCCATTCGGGACGAGTTTTTTTGCCCCATTTGAGATGTGGCGGGCTTTTTTTTGCTATCACTGATTAAATGGATCAAGTTAAGTCAAGTTCAATTTTGTCTGGCTCATCAGATGAGTTGATTCGTTATAAGTTGGGCTTGACTCCCTCCACGAGTTTGTTGCTTGTCATTGTTTTTTTTTCCAAAAATTGTAGATGTAAACTCGTAAGGAAATTGTAAATATAAAAAAATTATAAAGTTGTAAAAAACTATTTTGTTTACACTTTTTAAAATAAATCAATGAACTAAACACAATATAATACCGATCAAAAAAATAAAATAATTTGCAATTCTACCTTAGCAATTTGCAATCGCATATTTGAAAAGGATGTCGAAAGGCCACCTTCATCTTCTTGAAGCCTTTGTCGAATACAACCCGCGCTTTTGTTCAAACTGTAATATTGCCTAGATTATGTGATGCATTTCAATCAAACATATGGTCTTCCATGATAAACCTTATGTCTATAAGTATTAATAAAATCGTTGGTGCTGTGAATAAATCCCAGATTATACTAGACAATTCCAAATATTGATACCACTGTACATTTCCACATTGGAATATATTAGTCTCTACCAACGTTTTTTACCTCAAAATATAGATATTATATTTAACGGCCAACTATCAAATTTCCTTTCGAAAATTTGGCAAATTTTGTTCCATTTCTT